GTGAGCAGCGTGGGAAGCGCCGAGATTCGGCATTCACTCGCTCGCCCGTTTCCCTATTAGGACAAACCCTTGGGTCAACAGGTTAACATTGTTTAGCCAGCTTTATGATAATATGACACATATTCTGTGCTACTTATAAGGCATATGTTTTCCCTTGGCTGGTCAGAATAGCAGCTAATTTTTTTCTTTTTTAATATTTACAATTTTCCCAGCTAGAGATTAGAGGAAAAGATTCCGAATATGAACACACGCAGTTGTTAGGATTTATAAATCGAAATATCCCTACTAATCCTTTGCATTTTTGGTTAATTAAGCAATTTTTCTTAAAAATGACATATTTGTTTAAATAACTTTTTAATATATTCGTTTAATTTTTGTTTAAATTTCATCCTAAATAAATAAAAGTGTAAGTTGTTCCCAAAAAAGAACAAATGACTCTGAAAATTCAAAAACTATCTTCATAACATTTTTCAATTCAATTTCTGGCTCTGCTGTAATAGAGATTATTATTTTTATTTTAAGAATAATAGAATAAACTAATAAACTGGACCTTTTTAAATAGCATTGACTGAGATTTTTGGGAGCACCTGTCTGAGAATGTGAACCAGGTTTCTCCTGTTTCAGTTGAAAAATATATAAGTTATCTAGAAGACTACCGAGTATAAGATATTTAAAAATATATCAACTTAAATCCCGTAAATTATTCACTTTTAGTTAAATCCCTTAAGTTAATAATTTTCACTTCGTATAATTCTATCCTAATAAATCCCAAATCTCATATAAATCACTTTCTAAACTTCTTAAATAAATAAAATTCAATTTGAACTTATCTAATTAATACTTACTTTTTGATTGTAAATTCTTCAAGTGCTCGACTGTTAATTGTAGAATCTCCGCCTTCTCCAGCTTGGCGGAGCCCTGTTTCTCGTAGGCCGAAGGCACCAGACGCTTCAGCTCGGTCAGCGAGGAGTTGATGCGATCGCGACGCTTCTTCTCGATGACGCCGCGACGCTTCTTGCGGCTCATCAGCTGGCAGCTGCCCGTGCCGCTGGGCGAGATTCTGTCGAGAGAAGAGAGAAGAGAGAGAAGCTTTAGTTAATACTGAATGTAACAAATTTCCATTCACGCATACGCACTGCTCTTTGGAGGACTCCTCCGAGTAGAGCTCATCGCAGTCGCTCTCGGAGAGCGCACGCTTCAGACTATTGTGCGAATGATGGCTCTGATGACTCTGGTGGCTCTGGTGACTGTGGCTCTGCGGCGGCGGCACCCAATGGCTTTGGGGCGTGGCCGGCATCGACGCGGCGGCGGCGCCGTAGCCCCAATGATGCAGCGGCGGCGCATTCACGTGCATGTTGTGCTCCATTCCGAATGTAAATAGGTTTTGTTTGAGTTTGTTTGGGTTTGGTTTGGGTTCGGGTTTGCTCTTGGCCTTATTTCTGGCAATTATATCCGTTTGACAATTATCTTTGTCTGTAATCACTTTGTATCTATTTTAGCACATTGAACTTTTGGGCACAAGAACTTGTCAGTTTTTCTGGAGCTAGTTGTGAGCACGTGACTTATCGTGTGCGCGAACGGCGTTCGACTGATTTTACAGCACACGACTAGCGGACGTTCAGGCCGCCGTTTGCCCGGCCTCTCAACCCCTTTTTGCCGGCGGCAGCAGCAGCAGCAGCGGCCCAATAAGACGCAGCAGCAACCACCCCCTTGGCAACAGTAACGCGTGCCGCAACGCCGCTTGCACCGGCCGGGGGTAGCTAACGGCCACGGCCAGGCTAGGCCAGTGCCCAGTGGCTGTTCCTGCCGATCAGCGTCGGGCAGAGACCAACAAATGAACAAGGACGAGAGCAGACGCTGCCGCTGCTTCTCCTGACTGGTGCGAGCGGGTGGGCAGTCAGTTGGTTGACGCATTCGCACTTGCAGCATATTGTTATACCCATTGAAAATGCCATGAAACGGGCGTAATGAATTCATCTCCATGTATGCAACAAGCAAAGGCAGGCAAATTCCAGCCAATAGAGCTCTTCGTTCAGATCCATATCCGTCTGTCTGCCCGTCTCAGAGACTTTGAATAATATAAACATACATTTTGATTCTATAAATATCGATTTTCATTCTATGATAAGTTCATAAATAATTTTCTTAACTTTATCAAAATCGATAGGAATCGCTTTTATAATAACCTCCAATCATCGATATTTATCGATTTTCATTCTTTGATAAGTTCTTATATAAATTTATATTTTTTCAATATCAATAAATATCGTTTTTCATACTTTTTAATCTATGCTAAATATATATCTCTTTTTTCCAATAGCTTCCACTCGTATCTAAATATCGATAAATATCGATATTGCGTTTATATGCTTTTGCTCTGGAATATTTTAAGATACAAATTCCAAATGTAGGATGTGTTTTCTTCTCTAGTCTATATAAAATTTCGGTAAAAATTGCACCATTAACTCTTAGAATTTGGTATATAGGGTATCTGCTAGTCGCGCCTTTAGCTCGCTCACATTTTGGCCAATTGCAATGCAAATGAAAAACCTCAATAATTATTATTAGTTCGAGCTCAACGCCAACGCTTCCTTGTGTCATCGATGCCGATTGTATCAGGAGCAGGAGCAGGAGCCGGAGCCGGAGTTGTGGCAGCGACCGCAGCATCGGCGCCGTGGGCGGTGGCCGCCGTTTGCCACAGCTTGTCGCATTGTCTTTTTGGCGGCCACTTGCCGTCGCCGCCGCCGCCGCCGTGTTGACTTGTTGCCGGGCGCACTGGCAACTGGAGCACGCGACCGAGCTGCGAGCCGAACAGCCGCCGGCTCGTGTGCGGCATGTGGCATGCGGCTCCAACAAGTGCAACGCCCCGCCCCGCCGCGCTCCGGCGCCGCCTGTTTGCTTTGTGCGACCCGCATTTTGTAGGTCAGTGGTCTAATTTTTGCTTTCAAGGTTATTTTGGAGCAGGTGCCGCAACGGCGTTGACCTCTGACCTACCCAATGCCACACAATTGATTTCTCTCATCTTTGCACAAGTCCAGCATAAGATGAAGGTTAATTTCCGGGCTGACAAAAGACGAGTTATTTAATGGGCCTTAAAAATACTTCACTATTGCTGAGTTGTATATTAATTGATGTGAAACATAGTATATCTTTGATAAAAATAATTATTTAAAACAATATAGATACTACCTTAAAGACTTTATTTAATGTAAAAAGAAATTGGCATTGAAATATTTTATTTTATAAGAACATTTTAGGAAATTCTTAAAAGTTTTACAGAAAACCTGTCAAAGTATAAATGGCGTAATATAATAGCATTAATAGCTAATGCTCAAGATTGGAGCTCAGGGGATCCGGATATATGATATCCAGGAGGACGATATCTTTGTATCAAAAAGAAAGAACATCTATGCCAAGGCTTATGGAGAATGGTTTTGAAGCAGAAGGCTCAAGAAAACATCTAACTTCTTTATCAACAATAATAATTAATAATATATAATAAAGAATAATAATAAATAAAGTCCCCAATAAGGTTATGTTAAGGTCTTTGGATGCATAGTAAGAATATATTAAAATATTTATATATATATATACCTATAGCAGAATCAGAGCATATGTATATAGGCACTATAGAAAAAACAAATAAATATAATTCCATGAAAAAACACAATTTAAAATGAAGCAATTATTTGGCCAATTTCTTAAGTGCACAACACGGCGTATGGTTGATATTTGCACAGGAGGACTCCAACTTGATGGGATATCGATTTCATGTACCGCATTAAAATGAAGAAAAGTGCTTTTAATTCGCTTCGACATGCTGTCGCTCAGGTTGCCAAAAGCCAAGGAAGAAGCAAAGTATAATCGAGTAAAAATTTCGAGTGGGCGAGCCTCAGTTGTTGCTGTTGTTGCTGTTGTTGTTGTTGGACGAGGCGCGTGGGACAGCTCGAACAACAAATAGTTGTTGGCAACAACTCACCCTTAAAGCTGGTCGAAATGCCGAGCGAATGCCGAGCAACCCCACCGAGTGAGAAATGGCTCGTGGGAAAGCCAAAGGTTCGACGATTCTCACGCATGTTCAGCACGTGCGGGTCGTGCGACTGTCTACAACAACAACAACAACAACAACAGCAACAACAACAACAGCAACAACAACAGCAGTAACAACAACAGCAACAACAATTGAGGAGAAAAAAAGCGCAGACCAAATCGTTTGAAGTGCATTTAATGCACGTCGAGCGACGTTCCTTGTATTTCATTTTAATGCTCTTTGCAAAGAGTATCTACACTTTGTCACTGAACGTGTAACACAGCAAAGCAGGCAGCTCTAGTGTATGTCTATGAACATATATAGAATGTTATATATATGTTCTCAATCAAGCTAAAATAGTATTCCCTTAGTTCTGTTTACGGTTCGAGTCCTGGCGTCTGCCTTAAGTTTCGGTATGGTTACCCTTTTTGATGCAAAACTTTTCACATTTTTCATAATTTTGCATAATTAATCAAAATAAATTTCTACATAAAATCTATGTTATTTTTATGAAATAATAATTTCGACTTTCCAAAAAAATATTTCTATATTCAGAGGAAAAAAATATGATTCGATTCAGTTTTAGATTTGACTTTTCGTTAGTTTATGATTCTATTCAGGGTAACTAAAAAGTTATGTATTATATATATGCAAAAAAGATATGCTAATATAACTTGATATATAGAGTGCTTATCAGGGAACTACTAGCATCGGATCACTCTATGATATACCTTTCCTTTTTTTGGTCATAAAAATGCACTTGTCATCTCTGTAAGGGTATTCAGACTTCGTCATTTCATTTTCTCCACAATTTGCCTGTTGTTTTTTTAATGGATTTTTGAAATTGTAACCAATTTTCATATAATGAAAAATAATGAAAATTGCCAGCGATTATAATCGAGCGACATAAATGAATTAAAAAACTGGCAACTATTGTTATATCGATTCAAAATAGAGCGTATAATTCTCAAAAAATGGAAACTCTCTTAGAACTCTAGAGCACAAGTGCAGGGTAAATCCGTTAGGAAAAATCCAGTTGGATTATTTAGCTGCACCCTCACATCCAACGGGCATCAGGCATCAGGCATTGGGCATCTTCATCAGAAACTCTTAAGGCATTGGTTCAAGTTGTTGTTGTTCGTGTTCTTCTTCTTGTTGGTTTGCAGCAAATTCTGGGCGTCATCGCAGTTGCCCAGCTCGGCATCGTCTATCCAGGTCTCCAGGGTGCAGGCGCTGGAATGATGACTGGATCTCTGGGAATGGCCGCTGCCCAGACGCTTGCCACTTGGCGCCGATTGCAGCTGCCGCCAGCGACTGTCGAAGGCATCCCAATGCTGGCGCAGATCGAAGTGCTCCTCGTCCAGCGAATTGCCATTGATATCCCATTTGACAATCGGATAATCATCATTCGGGGGCTGGTGCTCCATAATGATCACGTTGTGATAGTGTCCATCGAACTGGGAGCCCACGCTGACGCTATAGCCGCGCTGGCTGGCCACCAGCTCGCGCTCCCGCTGCACTTGCTCCCGCTCTCGCTCCCACTCTCGCTGCTGCTCCAGCTGCAGGTCGAGGCTGGAGTTGGACGGCGTGTGCCTGAGATAGCGCACATTCTCCTTGTAGGGCACACGATCGAATTGTATGTCTAGGGCTGTGCGCTCGGACGGCAGCTGCTGCCGCTCGAGCGGCACATCCAACGCCTCGGCGGCGTCCTGGACGGATTGTATTGGGCTGTTGTTGGTGTTGTTGATGTGGCACACATATTGCTTATCGTTTGTGCTGCAGTTGTAGCTAATGTGCTCCTGCTCCACCTGCTGCTCCTGCTGCTCCTCGTGTTCCTCATACTCCTCATCCTCGTCCAGGCGCTGCACAAATAATTGCTTTGATGTGGATATTTTGCGCAGCAGCTGCATAAAAATAAACACATTTTGTTAAAAGGTCACACGCAGCCATCGATTTTTTATTGATTGTGCAGCAACTCACCTTGAGACAGGACTTCTTGGTGCGCCGCAGCAAATGGGACATGTCAGCGCCCAAATGGTGCCTCTTCTTCTTCTTCTTCTTCTTCTTCTTGTTCTTGTTGTTGTTGTTGCTGTGGTTCCTGTTGTTGTTAAATGTGTTTTGGGCAAAGGCTTTGGCCACGCGACATTTTGCTTGCGCCTGCGGCTGCGGCTGCTGCAGCTCGTCGGCCTAACAAACCAACACTGAAATCGGGAATAGAACAATATTCCGTGACTCTATATTTAAACCCGCCGGGCTCTCAGTTATGAGCAGGTGACTCATCGAGCAGCCGGAATTGCAAGTGCCAAAACCGAGCCGAGAGCCGAAGGCATTGTCGGCATCGGCGCAGTAAACATAATCTCTATGTATTAGTCTTAGCCCGACATTGTTTGAGCGCAGATTTGGCTCCGATTCAATGGTGGGCGATGGGTTCGCCCAGCTCGAGTGGACCCTCGAGTGCAAAGGCGGCGACGGCGCCTACTCAGCGAAATGTGCTAATGCGGTAATGCGCCAGCCCCACCCCCAACCCCAGCCCAGATCCTGGGCCAGCCTTGAGAGCGTGTTCTCACCATTGTATTCCGGCGCCAATTTGGTGCCATAAATTACATTGTCCTGATTTTAAGTGGAACACTCCCTATGCAAAGTTGGCGAACAGCGCATTTTGGGTCCAAAACTATTTGAATTTCATAAGCTATAAATATTATGCATTGCAAATTGAGCAAATATATAATATTTAAAGCATTATTCTAAACTTCAGTTAGACATAGAAATAGAGTTCAAGCTGAGAACAGTAAATAATTTAAGCATATTACTTAACCTTGTATTATACTAGGTTGTATACCCTGCATCCATTGAAAATGGGTAAAAACGGGGTATCATGTTTTTGAGCCAAACGAAGCATCTTTAAAACTATAAAGTATATATATTCTTGATCAGCACCAATAGCTGAGTCGTTCTAGCCATGTCTGTCTGTCCGTATGTATGAAGGAAAGGATATTAGAACCTATAAGAGCTAGAAACTTAAAAAGTGCCTCGCAGTACTAATTCTTAGATTACCTTAACCGAAACAAGAGTATTTAGTCAGAAGAGAGCTTAGACTAAAATGAAATGTGTCTAGCTAACTGTGAACCTTTCACCTGACCCACAAAGATAATCACGTATCTCATGCTTGAAGGACTTTGGACTATGCATAGTCTTTCTATACGAAATGAAATATTCAAATATTTAGATTTTCTTCCATTAATTTCCATAGAACTATCCTCTCGGATCTAATTTATTTTGTGTTTATGGGAACTGAGCTGTCTGTAAAGTTTCCGGAGTGCAGCAAATAATTAATGATATATACATTTAAATTTCGTGGGCTTATTACAAAATGATTTAAATGCATTTAAGTGTAAATTAAAAAACGAGTTTTTCAATTCAACAACGCTTCACGTTTTTTTTTTTTTGCCAGACCGACGAATGGAACCCAAATTTGAAGCACTTTGCGGCTTGTCCGCGCATTTGACACATCACTCAAAATGAAGTGTGCGAAGAGGCGAAGAGCACATGGAGAAGTACATGAAAAAGGCAATGAAAAAAGTTGTGATGCACTCAAAGCCGAAATGAATGAATGATGACACACGCAGCTAATTGTGCTGGGCAGCCAAAAATGATGATTTGATTTGGAAGTGAAAGTGGAAAAGGGATATGGCAATGATATTCTGCTGTAGAACAGATCTTAAGCGTGACTGGATGCATTTCTGGGAGACAATCGCTCAATATTGCTTTTTTGACAGCTGTCAAATGATTTTTTGGTTCGACCCTTTCCTGGCCAAAGGGTGCTGCGTGCCATTCGTTGACTCGCCCAATTAACGATTGATCGATACACACACACACACACGGAGATACACACACATGCTGACAATTGCAATATCGATTTCAAGAGTTTGATTTTAATTTATAATTGCCCATCAATTGGGCAGAGGGAGTTTGCGGTCGTTTGTCCTTGGTCACAAGTGTCACCCCGCCAGGCAATCCACACCCAACCCTCCTGCGGACACGCCGCATAGATTTTATTGTTATTGTCTGGTGGGCCTGAGGCTCGAGCCTCGCGGGGGTTGGAATATTGCCCAGTTCTCAGTCTCTCGACCACGGAGTGTCAATTATGCGCATTTCGAGTTGCGCTTTGTGAAAATTTACATTTTATTAGTTTTACATGCTCGAGGCATTAAAATTATTTACGATCCCAAATATTGTAGGTTGTAAATAATTTTTGGTCACGTACGATTCTGCCCAAAAATAATTAACTATAAAATGGAGATTCGCGAGATTCATGTAACGGCCTTTGCCCTGACCTTTTGCCGCCAATTAGAGGCGCATTGTTTCCGATCCTATTCACGTCCAGCTCCTCCACCCCGCCCCGCCCCGCTCCGCTGAAAACAAATGGACATTCGAGTGGACACGCGCTCGACTCTAAATGTTTTCCAAGTCTGTTGCGATTTCGTAAATGGATCGAGTTGACGGCAGTCGTTCAACTTTGCCACTTGGCTGATAAGAAATTAAAAAATTGAAAACTCGGGGTTCAAATAAATCTCGACTAAGCGATGCCCTGCACTCAAACAATTTAATTGTTCCACAGCGCATTAAAAACGAATTACTTAAATATTAAATCTATCTATCTGGTTAAGACGGAAGACTCTGCTTTAATTTACAAGGAACATGTGCATATATTAATATTTGGAATATTCAAGTTTTAGGTGCAAATCAAATCTAGCCCTTTATTGCATATGAAAATATTTATAACTTGCAATATTTTCAGTGCAAAGGGCTGCGGAAAACTCAAAATAATGTTGTGTAGAATATATGTTAAGCAAAGGTTTGAACCAGCACCTCGGCTCATTCTTGCTTGGTTCGAATCGTACATTGTGGGCTTGCAGCCCTATTAAACATACGAGTAAAACTTAATCATACCCCCCCTTATAAGCAGTTTTCATAGTTACAGGGTATACAACGTGTGCACATTTTAGCTCTTCGCACAGTCTGCTAATCAGTTAAGGTTTTCAGCTGGCTTTCGCAAGTCGTTTCGTGCCTCGAGAGAAATGAAAGTGGCAGGTATCAACTACTATGAGCACGTGCTGGACATACGCCGGGTTATAGACGAGGCTCAGGTGCAGGACTGCGACGAGGCGCTGAACATATGCGATCTGTCCAGTGTGGAGCGCAAGTTCCGCTTGTGGCAACAGCAGCTGCCCCGCATCAAGCCCTACTATGCCGTCAAGTGCAACGACGATCCGCGGATTGTTCAAATTCTGGCCGGGCTGGGCGCGGGCTTCGATTGCGCTTCCAAAAATGAGCTCAAGCTGGTTCGTATATAGCTCGCCTGTATTTCTATATATTTGATTGTGTATCTATTTAAATAGGTGCTGGACTGTGATGTGTCGCCCGAGCGCATCATCTTTGCCAATCCTTGTCGTCCCATCAGCCACCTGGACTACGCCAAGCAGCGCCAGGTGCTCAAGGGTACCGTGGACAATGAGTTTGAGATTTACAAGCTGCACAAGCATTATCCCAATTCCAAGTGAGTATTGCCTTATCTCTTGTTGAATCTCTCTCATAATTGTGGGAATTTTTCTACAGTCTGATTGTTCGCTTCAAGTCGGAGGCAAAGGCCGCGCAGTGCCCGCTGGGCGATAAATTTGGTTGCGATGCGGACATTGATGCCTCGGCCTTGATGCTGCTGGCCAAAGCTTTGGATTTGACAGTGAGTCAGACAAACAGATTGTCGATAACTAAAATCAAAAGAAAATTTGCTTTGGAAGCTTTTAGCAGGATTCATTGTATTAATTAATGCACTTTAAGCTTAAAAGCTTTCCAAAACCACTGTAAGCACAGTTTTGCCTTAGGTATTGAAACTTTAGTCTTAAAGCTTTTTCCCTTTTTGCTGGATTAATCCTTAACTAGAGCTTTAGAAGCGCTTTCAGCGAGTTGAACTAGTATTATTTAAAGGCAAGCAAAGATTTATGGGATTTTGAAGAGGTTCTTTTTAGCTCAGGTAAACATTAAAGCTCAAGAATTTCGCTGCATTTACCTTTAAATTAATATAATTGAGCTTTTAAGCTCAAGAGTGCTTTAAGCAAAGTAGATTGTGTTAAAGGAGTGTAATTGAATTAATCAAAAGCTCTTAATATATTCTAGTATTTCTCGCGCGCAGCTAATTTAATTCGCTGGATTAATCCTTGTATTTAACCACTTTAAAAATATTTCAAAGCTAATGTTATTGTGCTTTTACCAGTTACCAGTCATTTGCCATGTCTATAGTTAAAACGTTTCTATGTATAATTATTCTTGCAGCTAAGAACCTCTTTAGGCTAATGTCATTTTATATAATATGAATATTTGTTCAGGTAACAGGCACCAGCTTTCACGTTGGCTCCGGCTGCACTGAATTGGAGGCCTACGAGCGTGCCATCAAGAAGGCCAAAAACATATTCAAATTTGGCGAACTGTTGGGCTACGATCTGAAGCTATTGGATATTGGCGGTGGTTTTCCGGGCAGCGATGATGAGCAGTTCGTAAAGGTAAAGGTGCTGCAAATTAAACAGAAAGAAAAATATTAAACGAAATGTAATTCCAGATAGCTGCCAATGTGAATCGCGCCGTACAGAGGCATTTTGCCGATGAGCGCATTGAGATAATCGCCGAGCCGGGTCGCTTCTTTGTGGCCGCCGCATATACACTGGTCTGCAAGGTTCATGCCAAGCGCGAGGTGCGCAATGCGGCCGGCAAGCTGGACACTGTGATGTACTATCTGAACGATGGGGTCTACGGCTCCTTCAACTGCATACTCTACGACCATCAGCTGGTCACAGCGCAGCATTATCTGGTAAGTGTGAGAAATCTATATGAATATATATATAATAAAAAGAATTTTATATTTTAGGAGGGAGCCGAGTCCTTGCCCACATTCAAGAGCCTGATCTGGGGTCCCAGCTGTGATGCGCTGGACAGAGTTAGTTTAAAGAATTTAAGCTATTTCTTTTTGTATTTAATTTTATTTATTTTTTCTTAAGATATCTGAGAATCTGCGTTTGCCCAACCTGAATCGTGGCGATCTGCTGGGCTTTCCGAATATGGGCGCCTATACGGTGCCCATAGCGAGTGCTTTTAATGGTTTTCCCCTGCCCAGGACCCTCTACTTTCAGGCCATATGACTAAGGGTTGTCGCATATCAAATAAATACACTCGATATGTGTGTGTTAGTAACCAATATGATTTTTTATTCTTTATAATTGCTCGATTGGGAACACACAGTGTGCCTGGATGGGAACCCCTGCACACTCTGTGCTCCGCAACGAAGACAACGGAACTGCTCCATGGATTCGGTTTGCTTTTGTTTACGTATTTTGGCAATATTTTGAAAAGAACAGCTGAACAGCCGCAACTGACCCGAGTTGGGTTGCAGCGCATTCTTTTGAAAATATTTTGAATACTATTGAAATTGCTTTCGGGCAAGGACGCCAGCTAACGGCTAACTGACCCAACCGAACTGGCGAACTTTGCCCAACAAAGCGGCTTTTTTGGACAATAAAGTGTAAATACAAAATAGCTTATGCACAATACTTAGCACGAAACAGGTATATATATGTATATATGTATAACTTAGTTCAAATACAGGTCAATAGAGGTACATAGAAAGATGTAAACATCGAAAACAAAATAAGAAAACAATTTCAAAAATTGCATTTTTTTTTTGTTCTAAATTGTTGCACATGCTCAAAAGTAGTTGTAAAAAATGATTTTTGTATATTCTTGTTTGTTGCATTTAGCGAGTCAGCCAATTATTGGCGCACTCCCGATATGTTGTGATATTACAATATATAGTATTGTATATGTATAATATATATAACGATTATGTATATAATAATTGATATCGTGTATATGCGGATGCTGCAACTGATCCGCCTAACCGCTTCTTGCTTCATGCTTCTCTCTTCGGCTTGCATATAAAGAGTACAAACTACTTATTTCATAATCAGTTCTTGGTGATTGATGCAAATGTTATTCTTCTTCCATTCGAACGCGTACAATTTTGTTTTTCATTTATATTACTTTTTTTGTGCTTTATGTTTTTGTATATAAATAGCATTAGTATTTCTTTGGTAAATAATCGATAAATATTGCAAAAATTTCGACTAGGTTGCATGCTTTTTGATATGCTGCTTGGAAAAACTTGAATAGAAAATGGAAAATAGAAAAAACCACAAAGAAATTGTTTATAATGATTGTATCTCACAACAGCGACGACAAGACGACGACGACACAGTACTACACAGAATAAATAGGTACATAGATATACACAATACACATAGAATTTGGTAGTAGTATGTGTAAGTAGTTAAATTCTATATAATTATGGTAATAATAATAATAATAATGATAATAATATCGCTTAACTTGTAACAATTCACGTTTTCTGATATGTTTCGGTTTTTGTTTTTGTTGCTTTCAAATTTGAATCTCTAAATTGTTTACTTAAGTCTAAGCTACCGTTTTAATGCCTATCGATAACACGATTTATACCGTTTTATACCGTTAACAATTAATTATCGATTTTTTTTTTAAATTTTTAACGGTTCTGCCTAAGTTTTAAGCAACGATGTCGGGCTACTGTCCACAGTGCGTATATGTTTTGTGTGTTGTTTATGGAATTCATGATTTGTTTATCTTTACTTCTTTACTTCTTAACTTCTTTTCTGTGTTTTTTCTTTCTCTCGCGATTTATGACACATTGGCATCAATATAATATCAATACAACAAGGTGGGTGTGTATCATTTTCATTTTGGGTATTCAGTTTCGATGGGGCACTTGCGGGTGATATTGCAGCTTGTTTTTTGGGGGCTGTTGTTGCTGTTGGTTGCGTGCATATTGAGTCTAACAATTGCCAGAGTTGCATAATTCACGGATTCACTATAATCTATAATAAAAAATACAATACAACAACACAGAAATGGTTTGTAGGCGTACAAAAGTGGTTTTTGGTATTTTAGTTTTGGTTTTGGTTTGGTTTTTGGTTTTTGGTTTGGTTTTTAAGGGGGCATAAGTATCAGTTCGTCTATGTCTGATGATGATGATCCATCATGAACACCCATACAATAATGCGTGTATATATATACATATATATATGTATATATGTATATATATGAATATATATACATGTATATGGATAACTAAACGGAAAAACGGATGTGAATGCAATTGATACGATTGCGTATGTTGCTTGGAGTTGCATATTAAACGCTACTCATAAATGCCACACTACACATGGCTATTTGGGCCAAAATGTTCACTTGCAGTATCCGCATGAGACCGCCGCTGGTGGGTGAGGGACTCACATTGAGGCCAGCGCAGTGCATCTTCTCGGTGGGCATCGCTTGCACAAAGTACTCGCGATTATCCAGCGACATGTGACACAATGGCTTCTTCTTTTGTGACATTTCATCGTCCTTGTTCTTCAGATCCTCCAACAGCTTGGGGAACCAGGTCAACTCGCACGAACAGTTCAACGGATTGTCTGCACAAAGATATATACATGTATATCAATTTAAGATTCAATATAATCTATTGTTACAACACTTGCCAGTTATGTCAATTATGCGTAACGTATCGATGACTGGTTCCATTGTATCCTGCGGTATTCGCTGCAACTTGTTATTCTGCAGATTCAACGTTTCCAGCGAGTTGAGATTCTCGAATAGAGTGCTGGGCAGAACTTTGATGCTACAAATCGAAATGTATGAGAGACGATAAATATAGACGTTAGTTTGGAACTCTTTTTGTTTTTTGCTATCTATTGCGTGCTTTACTCATTCTTCTGCAGATTGAGAAACGTCAGCGAATCGCCGTATCCGGTAAAAGCATCATCGGCCAGCACATTGATATTGTTGTTCCGCAAATCCAAATGGCGCAGACGATGCAACGGACGCAGTGCCTCACTGGGTATGGCGTTAATATTATTATCGCCCAGACGCAAGTACTGTAGATTCTCTGTAAATTTTTTATCCGTCATTATGTGAGCCTTTTGGAAGGACGCTTCGCTTCAGCTTACCCTCAAGACCCCTAAACGCATCCTTATCAATTACGCTGATCTTATTGCCCTCCAGTTCCAGCGAGTTGAGTAGGCTTAAGTGGGAGAATACATTTGCAGGCACGGTTGTGATCATATTATGCGCTAATATCAAAGAATCCAAATTCTGTAGACCTGTCAAAGAGTAGATCAACTTTAGAAGCTAGTGTTATTGGAAATTTACAGCAGCCTTACCTTCAAAATCGCCCTCACTGATCGTACGTATCTTGTTCTCCTGTATCTCGAGTTTCTTCAGTGTGTCCAATATGGAGAGCGCCTTTTGTGGCACGTTCGATAGATCGTTGCCACCCAGATTCAAACGCTTTAGTTTTCTGCAAATTCAATACAAAATTAGTCTTTGAATTCAGTTAAGCTTAATGCTATTTACTTCTCCAGGCCGCGGAATGCTTCGGGATCGATCTGGGTTATTTTGTTCTCATAGAGCGTAAGTATCTCCAGCGTGTCTAGCCCTTCGAAGGCATTGTTATGTATGACGGTGATTTTATTGTGGTTCAAGTTCAAAATTAACAAGTGATACAGATGTTGCAGCGCCTGTAAAATACGATTATTTTCTTTAATTTATGATATTCAGCTTAAATATAATAATATATTCTATTAAAAAATTGTAGAACCAACTGAGTGGTAAACTCTTTTTTAAAATTAGATTTTCTTAAATATTATTTAAAATAACATTGATTAAGTCTTATTTGTCAGCGAAAAAAATTGAAACATTCCAAAGACTTGCCATTCTTTCTATAAGAAAGAATACGTCGGAATCTAAATATTATATGTAAAATATGGATATATTCATTCAAATCGGAATTAATATGTGAATAGTACAAATACTATATAAATTTGCATATGACAATTTAAAACAGCCTCTTATGTACGAGTCGCAAACTTGCTTTTTCTCTTAAAGCTATTTGAATAAATGCCAAAATGGCCGCTGGGCATTTAAAAGTTATCGATAACTTAATCGAAATATGTATGCCGATACAAATGTGTTTCGGTATTTTATTGAGATCAGTTTGCCGATAGTCATGCGGTATTAAATACAAAAGGCGGAACTGACCTGCGACGGCACAGTTTTCATCTGATTCAGTGACACGTCCAGCTGTGTGAGTCCATTGCCTACAAAATGGAAATGATAATTATTTTGGTTAATTCTGATGATTTGGGCGGCACTCACCCAGCGAACTCAATGCATTCTCCTCGATGGCCGCCAGGCTGCTGTTGTGTATTGTCAAATGGCGTATGTCCAGAGCCAGAAATACGAAACCCTGCAGCTTGGGCAGATTATTGTGGCGGAGCTTCAAATAAAATATGATCGGACTTTTGCCCTTCAGCGTGCCCATCGATTTGGTAATATGCACCAGATCCGTGGCCTCGCACAGTATATCCAGTCCGTTCTTCTTCACCGTGCATATGCAGGGCGAAATATCGCCCTGCTCTGGGCACACTTGTTGCGGTGTGCCCTGGGCGAGTGTCTGTACCAAAAATAACAGCAGACATCCAATGGCGCCCGCTGTATGCGTGTAGTGGACAATCAGTTGCCTTTGTCCTGCCATCTTGACACTCACACACACTCACGCACACGCACACACACACACACACACCTTAGCTGAGCTCAACTTGATGTCCGTTAGAAAAAATTGCGCTGTTGTCGCCGCTGTCGCCGCTGTTGTCGTTCTGAGATTCTCTGATGATGCTATTTACAATTGTGTTCCTGTTAAGAGCATAAAAGTAGATGGAAGAGTCGGTTACGGCTGCAGCGTATTCAAAATCAGCTTGAAATGGAAACGAAAACCCACAGCGAAAAGCGAATTACAAATTAAGCGCACAATGCGCCATTTTATATGTGTTTGTGTGTGTACGTGTGTGTATGTTTGTATGTGTGCGTGTGTGTGTGTTTGGCGGATTAAAAATAAATTGAACTAATTGAGCAGCTCTTTACGTACAGTCGTTGTTGCTGCAGCTGTTTTCTCTGCGTCCGAGTTACGCATGAAAATGCCAACAAAATTAAAGAAAACCAAAGAATGAACATTGATTGTGAGCTCACCTGAAATGTTTGTCCGTCCCTATTTAATTAGTGCCAAATTAAACATGCTTCTTATTGCGATGCGATGTACTGCGACGTATGTATGTGTGTATGTGTGGGCTTTCAGAGCAGAACTTCCACCGAGAAGCAACAATTAACCGTTGCCCGCTGTCACTGTGCTTTAACGGACCAAGCACACACACACATTGAGAAACAAAGACGAGCACCCCCTACCCAACACCTGGTGGGTGTGTGTGCGCGGGGTGGTTGGGTGTGTGTGGTCTGTGGCTTTAAGAGGGGCGTGTGCTTGCGCGCGGCGTATTGTGTAAACTCGGTCAGAGTGTGTGTATAACGATGTAACGGAAAATCGATATCATTCAAAAAATGTTGTCGACCGAGCCTTCTTCTTCTATTATTATTATTATTATTAATTTTAATAACGTTGGCTTTTACTATCGTTAGTTTTTATTAATTATAATAACTAATTGCACATAGTTGAGTAAACTTCATTAGACGCTGCAAGCTTATTTCAATTGCTGTCGCATTGAGACGACATAATTATTGTTGCGTCTATTTGCATTTGGTTGTGGCAATGCTTTAGGTTTTTATTTGTATTATTTATTGTACATTTTTCGCTGCCGCGCGCCGACACACGCATTGGATGGGTGTATGTATTTGCGTATATGGGGAAAATAGTACAACAGCGCGTGTAAGAAGCACGTTTACTTGGCAAAACCGACGACTGCGGACTGAAATTCAATTTTTAAAATTGAATGTCTGCCGTTTCATTTGGGGGTTGTTGATTCGTCGTTAGTTGCTTGCGCAGTGTTGGTAAGCGAGCGAAAATGGCGTTGCCACCCCGCAACGCGATATGGTCACCCTACAGAATAAACATATACGTTACGAATCGACTTAATAATCGAATTGCAGCTCTGTGCTCGGTTAGGCGCCTCTTAAAATTCAAATTTGAAAATGTTAACAAAAATGTGAAGGGGCTGGCATCAAAATATTTGTGAAAATGAATTATGTTTGCATTTAATATATTCAACAGACTATGAAGAAACATAAAAAAGCATATCCTTCCAGAGTTGAATTTTGTTTAACCGATTTATACATAGTTGTTATACTAATATTAATATTATACAATTTTCAGATCAGATCTTTCTGACGATTCGTGCATAGTTATAGCAGGCTTTAAGAAACGTTAAAAATGAAACACATGTAATAAAAAAAAATGTTAAAAGAATCATAGCAGCAAAGTTCATTCAGTCGGGCAAACCAAATTATCGAAGTTTTTATTTTATTTATATTATATTTAATTATCCTTTTTCAAAAATGGGTAAATGTAATAAGGCGTTAATTGTAAAACTTTTGTGCGAGTTTCTTGCCAGCTTCTTTGTACAATTTATTGGCTGCGCTCTTACCGAGGAATCCTTCTTAGGTATCTCATTGCCTACAACGGGCTCATTTGCCTATGCAATGAGTTGGGGCGGAAGTGTTCTTGCGGCGACGCAAGCATTCCGGATAGTGTCTGGTGCACACATAAATCCGTGTATTTCCATTGCATCCATGATACTCGAGAACGTAAACATTCTCGATGGCATGCTTTATATACTCATGCAGCTTTTAGGATCGGCCTTGGGCTTCGGTCTCTCATTTGGCATATTCTATGATTCGAAATTCAAAAACAAGAAATTTTGCTGTACGGCGATAACGCTGGATCCTTGGTGGAAAGCGATACTGTTGGAATTTTATATGACCGGAGCCTGGGTATTTGCCATGTGCGCTTCATGGCATGAAAGCAACGAGATGATGTTGGAGTCAATTTCGCTGCGGATTGGATTGGTCGTCGTTGCTGCCACCTATGTTGGAGTAAGACTCGCAATGCAGTGAAATTTAATGCAATTTATATAATTCTTCAATGTGATCTGCTGCTATTTCCAGGCCAATTTCACGCGATCCTGCATGAGTCCATTTAGATCCCTCTGGCCAGCAATAGCCGCCGGTGTCTACACGCACATCTACGTTTATGTGGCTGTGCCCCCACTCACGGCGATTCTGCTGGCGGTAGCCTGGCGATTTCTCTATCTGCAGGGCAAATCGGAGACTGTCAAGCCTGAAGAAGGTGGTGAATAAGGGGAACGGATTTCTCTCCACAATGTGGAAAAGGAACACAAGAGTAACCAAAAGCCAAATGAAAATTATTTCAGAACTCTTCCAAACTGAAGAGCAATATATCAATGTGTATGTGTCTATCCCATTGTCAGCAACATGACACCAAATGACAATAAAATAATACATTTTTTCGAAGTGGGAAGCAGGAATATTCGTGGTGATAAAGCTCCTATAGCTATAGACAAACCCTTTTAACTTAAGCCACAATTTTAATGGTATTGTCTTTTTTAAGATTCAACTGCTGAAAATTTCATTAGGATCGGGTATATTGGGCAAATTTTTTTGGCAGTCCAAATTGAAGAATGTTTATCTAATTTTAACATGATGAGTACCAATAAAATACGCTTTTCCAAATCTGTCATTCTGTCGAATTCATAGAATATGTAACTCTATTACATGTTGCCTAGATTTACATATATATATATATATATTCGCTTTTTTCGTTTTGCTAAAATCCTGGTAAATTAATTATAATATAATGTAATATAATCATATAATATAATAGGAATTATTTTTTATAAGAAATAGCTGAGAGCTACAAGCAGAAAACTATTATAACGCGGCTTTTTTCAAACGCTCGATAACAGCGATTAATGATTCGATTACTGTTAATTAGATTAAAGAAGAAATCGAGCTGCCAGAGTTTTTTAACGAGAATTTCCCTAGTTCCGGCGTTAACTATGTGAACTAATGTTCGATCGGTTCGTGAACCAGGCTTTTGGCGCGGGCCTTTGAATATTTGAAACTTTTATGTAGAGTTCGTATTCTCCATATCTCTAGTAGGCTGAGGTCAATTTAAGCTTATGATTATGGCAGATCAGCCGGAGAAACAAATAGTTAAATTCAAGTATTATTTCAAACCGGAGCACAATATTTCCTAATAGAATAACTTTTTTTGTCACGTGTCACGGTAAAAATTTAAATCATGGGAAATTTTAAGTGGGACATGGAGCTTCTCAAGAAAGTGTTTGCTGAATTTACTGGAACCGCGATGGTTCTAGCACTTGGATGCACAGTTGACGGCACGCCGGATGCGATGAAATCGCTCGTCTGGGGCCTCATTTACTTGGCGGCTATTCACATATTCGCCTTCATGAGCGGCGCCCATCTGAATCCAGCTGTGAGTGCCGCTGCCACAATTGTCGGCGTCATGGAATGGCAATTGATGCTCTGCTATATGCTTGCCCAATTACTGGGAGCTTTCTGTGGCGCTGGAATGGCATTTGGTGCACAGCCAAATGGTGCCAAACAGTTCTGTGCGACTGTGCCCATCTTGAAGGATTACTTGTATCTGGTGGTTGAGCTTCTTGCAATGATGCTCTTGATGTTTGCCTATTGCGCGATCTGGGATAAGCGCAGTGATAATGCATACGACACGATGTCTCTACGCATTGGATTCACAATCGCAGCCTTGTCCTTTGCAACGGTAAATATTGTAACATAGAACCAATATATAGATGCCAATCGATAGTACTGATCCTTGCGAGTCCAAAATGGTATAAAATTCCAAAAACGTACATTATTTGGCCGAGATATTCATGAAAATCATCAAAAAAGGTTGACTTTACTTACAAACGAACCGTTTTTTGGTCAACAACTTTTTTGAGGCAATCGATTTTCAATTTGTTTGAATGCCATTTGATAGTAGGGATCCGTACGAATTCAAAAAGGTATAACATTTCAAAATCTGACGATATTGCTCTTGGGCTAGCCAAATTTAATGAAACCAAGACCTGGGTTATATACTCTTCTTTGTTTATGACTATGATTGAAAATTTAACCAAACTAGTTAGAGGGAGGTCATTGGTTCGAATCCAGCAGAAACACTTGTGTTTTACTTTTACTTGACGCGGAACATATATACATATATATATATATATACTTATATACACGGATAATATATATACACATAAATATAAAATACACACACCCCATTTTATTTCGCAGATCAATTTGGGCGGATGCAGTCTGAACTTCTTTCGCAGCCTAGCTCCAGCTTGCATAAGTCAACAGTTTAATGGCTTGTGGGTTTACTTTGTTGCCCATTTGTTGGCCGCCGTATTGGTGCCCGTGCTTTGGCGTTTCCTCATCGCAGAGGAGAAGCCTGAGCCCGCTGACGGATAATGTGTCGTCACAAGAATATATGCAAAACAATAAGACAAAGTCGGGTGTATATAACTAGATATATATGCGTATATATATTTATATACATATATATACATGGTTTGGCGTAAACGTGAAATCTATATGAATACAACAATTTTTCAAATTTATTGTATATTTACATGTATTTTATACTGTGCTCGATGTATACAAACTTATACAAAATGTTGCATATAAGAAAGTTCACACATATATTACGCTAAACAATTTGAATATTTAAATATTTTACTTTTTCTGGTATCAACGCATATAATTATCGATATCGATAATTTATTTCAATAAACTCCGATTATCAAAGCTACGAAGCATCGGGTTTTCTTTTTAGCCAAAACCTTACAGGGTATATTAAGCACTATTTTTGAGCCATGTACTAATTGAAAGTCGATTAACTGAGTCACTTAAGTCATGTCTGACTATATTTATTAATCGATACGCCTGCTTTAATATCAGATCATGCGCCGATTCCATTAAATCGATAAAAACTGCTATCGATTTTTGATACTTAGGCTCTTGTATTCTATACGCAGATAAGGAATATTTCGGGAATATTTCAATTAGGGTATCTAACAGTCGGGCAGAGAATTTAATTTATGCCAACTGGCTGGTGGTTACAGAGTATATTCCAATTAGAATTTGTGAATTGTTATTTCCAATAACCGTTTAATTTATCGATTTTTGATGACAATTTTCACGATTACCATTTCCAGAACACATCGATTTGGTCTTAAAGCCTGCCTGACTATTCGAATTTTTTTTGTTGAGCGGCATTGAAAACTCCTTTGATGATGATCAGGTTACGGCCGCACGTGGGCGTAATTTTCTCGCAATTAGGATGCGATTACGATAATGTGACCCGTCGTCGCCGTCGAAAGGGTAATTGAAGAATGGATAGGTGTTGGTGTTGGTCCTGGTGCTGGCTTCTTTGTGTCCACGGCCCTTGCCGTGTGGCCACGTGCCATCAGACGCCTTCGCGCAGTTTGACTCTGGAATGGCTGAGGGCTGGTGGGGTAAGGGGGTAAGGGGGCACGGGGCGGCGGGGATTGACAGTTTCAATTTGCAAGCTTGTTGCCTTTTGTGGAACGTCTTGGGGGTTGTTCGCCAGCTGACGGATTAAGTTTTGAGGGCAGCCAGATGCTGCTGCTGCTTGGCTGTGGTTTCTCCAAGGAACTGAACGGAACTCAAGAGAACGGGGCACGGAGAACGGAACGGGGCTTGGGGACGATTTTGTACACAATTTGAATTTGACAAAGTGCAAAATCCTTTGCACTTTGAAGACTGATTGACTTCTTATCCTTGAATGGATTTGAATAGAAATGTATTATTTCACATTTGGGGGTTGGCCTGCCCCTGTGTGCGTGTGTGTGCGTGTGCGTGTGCGTGTGTGTGTGTGAGTGTTTATGTAGCATAAACAAACGGAAGATAATCAAGATGTAAAACACAATCCGACAAGCGAGTGGCGCCTGCGAGGGCTTCTGCTGTGCAGCTTCTCGCGCGGCTGAAATTCAAAACCAAACAAACCCGTTGCAGAATCAAAAGGCAAGCGCTTGCCCAAATTACAGTTACAGTTGAAGCCGAAGGAAAGTGGGCGGTGCGGGGGCAGGTGGGGGGTGGCGCCACTGGAAAATTGTGAAACGGATTTTTCAGCATTTCACTTTGTACTCGCCGAGGGAAACTGTTATTAACTTAATGAAGGACTGTGCTGCGCCCACACACACACACAGACAACCACATTTTACCTGACACGTGATTCGGGTGACGGAAACACTCGAGCTGTTGGGGGTGGGGAGGGAAGGAGGGAGGCATGGCACGGGAAAAGCTCAAGATGCTACGCCAGCAGGAAATGGATAGGAGTAGTCGTAGACGACGAAAGCCAAGCTCTTTATTATGCTTATTATAGATTCGATGTCAAGCTATCAATTGCTGAGTAGCTACCTTTACTTGAGATATTCGAAATATATATATATCCATATATATTTATTTTTTGGAAAATCAATAATTGGTTTCCATTTGAAGTTTTTTCATGCAAAGGTCAGCCAATCTTCACAGTCAGCTAATTTTGACAGATGTGAAACGAAATACGTATATAACAATCGAGACTCTTGATCCGTATAAGTTTAAAGAGGTATATAATTTTATGACTTAACTTTAAAGATATGAGCCTTTGTCCCGGGTGCATAACATGAAAGATACTTTATTTGTATCTATTATTCCAGAAACTTCATGACAAATATGGTGACTAGTCATCAAAATCTACGAGCTCAACAAAACAGATATCGACATCGATAATTATCGATTATTTGGAAACCGATGAAGTTATCGGCAAGAGTTACCCGCCCAATGATGTAGTCGGGATTATATATGCTTTAAGCAGTGGAAGATATCTCCTTCGAGACATTACACAGTTCATGACAATATTACAATACAAACATATTATTTATATTTGTATGGAACAGTTTGTAAATGTCAAGCTTGGATAACATCTTTAAGAACAAAATTTGTTGGCTGGCTCGACATACATATAAGGGACGTCTGCATAAAAACTGAGATAATATTTGCATACCTGTCACATAAATTTGCACAAGAACAGCATACTCTGTTTTATTACTATTATTATAAGTATACCCATTTCTATACATCGGAATCGATTTGCTGGCATATTTATTCTTAGTTCATCTGCATAGAATAACTGTACGTCAGACAACAGACAGCAAAAATATTAACAAATATTTATTTAAATGAAATTTATACAAATTTGGCTCTGCAAAATAATTATGTCGACCACTGTAGAGCGCTGCATGTTTTGTATTACACAGAGTAAGTACAGCTACAAAATATAAATAAATTAATGAGCCGAAATGTTTTGATGACAATCAGACAATCAGACAATCAGTCCGTCATATTTACATAGATATGCATATGTGTTTTTGAGCATAAATGTATATTATTGTATTTGAAACACTTTGATATTTGAAATGCAGTTAAATGCGCGCCGCAGCAGAGTTGCCAGACAGTCTGCAACAGCGCTCGTTTGTACAGTTATTAATATATACAATTATTTGGCTTATATGGAGGAATGCGCATACTTTTGGCATTATTAATTATTTGCGGCATGTGCGAAGCCCGACTTGTCGCCAGATTCTGTTGCTGTTGCATATTTAACAAGTTTTAACACAAGTCCCGTGCTAGCTGTAATTAAACCAGGAGATATATGGCCACACACACGCACAGACACACAAGCACACACACACGATTGCATATATTGTATATAGGTGTGCGTGCGTGTGTGTGAATGAAGCTCATCTCGCAAAGTGGCAGGTTAAGTAAACAGTTTCATTGTGCGAATTCAATTAAAATTTATTCAAAACGTCAGCGGCAGCTTCTCAAATCTGCGGCGAAGGCAGCGGCAGCAACAACAATGCAACAAAGTGCCACATGCGGCATGTTGCACGCACGCACAGCGTAACTGTAACTGTAACACGCACACAAGCGCACGCAGCGTGTATATATGTGTGTGTGTGTATCTATGCTACGGTCTGCCATTGGCAAAGGGGTGTGTCCTAGGCAGCGGCCACGCCCACACCACGCAAACGCAGACGCGCAATTGCCGCACTTGCGTCAAAGCGAGACAACGCTAGGCGAGAGTGCGGCCCAACATTGTATCTGTTGGCTGTAAATGTATCTGTATCTGTATCTGTATCTGAAGCTGGCAGTTGTAGCTGCGCTGGCACTTGTCGGCGCCGTCGCCGTCGCCGTCGCTGCTGCCGTTGCTGCTTGTAAGTGGTGTAAATGGCAATTTGTCTGCTGCCCGCCGTCGCCCCCGCACGGTAGCGATAATCAACGTTGCGTTGACAGCATATGTATGCGTCTGACTGTATGTATCTTTGTCTGTATCTGTATCTGCCTGTATCTGTATCTATAGCTGTATATCTATTCATTCGCATTCGCGCATTTTGTGCCATATCATCGTCTGCTGCTGCTGTTGCTGTGGCTGCTCCGTCATCATCATTATGATCGTCCATTTTCAGAGTGTCTTATTTTTGGTTGTATTATTTCTTTGTACCGAAAAATAAATGCACATACTTAACATACGTATGTATGTACGTAACATATATGTATGTATGTACCTGCACCATTGGGTTATTTTCAACTTCCGCTGCTCGTCATCCCATCCGCCCATTCGCAGGTATTCGCAGGCGCAGTGCTCCGTCCCGTCACGCCCCGTTCCCTCCCGCTCTGTCCCGCTGCTGGTCCTGGTTCCTTTCCTATCATATCGCCCTTTTCAGCTCTGTGTTATGATGTTAGTTGATGTTCGGCAATAACTAATCAAATTACTCAGCAGTAAATTGTATTTGACGCTGTACAGGTATTTGAATACAGGTGGGGTTATCAGGTATCCGCTGATCAATGTCAAACAACTTTAAAAGCATCTAAACAATTGATGCTAAATAAACTGTTGAAGTGAGCTAAAAACAAGTTTAGATTCACATTATTCGAATATGAACCGAAAGAGATTTTGACGAAGGTTTCATACCTTTGCGGACTTATGTAAATTTAACAGATTCTCCATTATGTCAGAGAGAGGAAAGTTTGGTCAAGATACATTTAAAAAGTAAGCGATTAGTTTGCGGATAGATGGACAAGACTACATTATATACAAACAAGATACTTAGTTCTTTGAAATGCATTCCATTCAGATTATAATATATACTATTCTTAATATAAATAATTATCACATCAATGCATAATAGCCAATTTTATCATAGATAATCATAATATTCATAATTAATATTATTATTAATATAATATACTTAAGTCTTAGAAATTTATTCTATTCGTAATATAATAAATATTAATATTATTAATAATAATAAAAAATATTATTATTTTCATTATTTTTATTATCAATAAAACATTATTGTTATTAAATGGTTTTACTTGTATTTTATGAATATTATATATGCACTGAGCTTACACTGACAAAAATAGCCTAAATATCTTCATATAAATAGGATCTACGACTTTCCCAGAATATATGTAATGCATTAACTTATGTACATTATCAAATCTGCAAGCTTATATTTATACACATATAAATCTATAATCAACCAAATAAATATCTCCATTTTTCTTTAAAATTGGTAAAAAATAAAATGATTGGCGTACAAAAAAAAAAAAAGA